TTGGTTCTGGAAGAAATTTCTTATTAGGGACACATTTTCCATGTAAATGCCCTAATCCGTTCCAAGCCCCCAAAAATTCTGACATAAATGTTTTATAAAGCATAAAAATGCATCAAAATATGCAACAAATACATGTTACAATTAGATTATTGCACAATAAATGAGAGTTGTGTATAATGTAAAAAACAAAGAATAAAGAATGAAAATGATGGTCATTTAATTTTTAACTGCGTCCTCATCATTTTTTTGCCGTCTTTATTTCATGTTCTCTCTCAGAAGGGGTTTTTGCTTGGCGTTTTGCAAAGACCTGATCCAAAGATGTTTGCCTTTGTCGGCTTTTAACAATCCTTCGAAAAAGTCCAAGGCAAACATCAGCACAGTGAGTTATCGCCTGACTGGTGAACGCTTTTTCTCGGTGATTCAGACTTACGTAAAACTATCGGAACGCCTCATGGCCCAAGGGGCGAATGACAAGGACGCTGCTTAGACACACATCGATCAATTTATCTATCTACACAGATGGACACAGACGGTCAAGGTCCCTTTTAGCCAATGGGATGCCAGGAAGATGCTCGGTAGTAGCCAATGGCAGCGCACCAATCAGTATGTTGCGTTCAGGAAACTTGGGGCTGCGAGGAGTCGTATTTTTACCTTTCGCATCTTGAAATTTCTTTCGAAACAAGAGGCAATATTTTCCTGTGGAGGCGTTTCATAACTAGAAAATTTTGTATGGAGAGACGTTTGTAAGTAGAGGTACCACTGTAGTTTGCTGTAGTACGCTTTTCGTGCCTTTTTATTTTTTTTAACTTTCTAGTTTTAACAGTGAAGGCCATTTTACGCTAGATTCTACATTGTGCATCCAGAGATGTTGAACAGGCTTTCAACTTTGGAGATGCAGATGCGCAAGTAGTTTTTGTTCATAATTGCACATAATTCAGGTGACACATTGGTACACTGCACGCATGACCATTGACAAGTATAATTAAAATGGCGACCCTGCGAAAGTGAAAAGAAACAGAGCTGCTGTGTCTGCTTTTGGCTTAACAGGAGAAAAGAAAAATTGAGCCATCTGTCTGTCTTTAGATTCCATTAAATTCAGTCATAAAAAGATAATACAGGGGAATCTCCACACACAAGCACGCTTCGTTGCAGACATCTGTTGTTGTTGTTTGTTGCTCTGGCTTATTTGTGGTCGGCTTCCTTCCACTTTATGTAAGGCTCCAGTTCCAGCTGAAGTAAAATAGCCCCAAAGCATGATGCTGCCACCACCATGCTTTACTGCAGGAATGGTTTCTTTCGATGACCACTATTGTGTGGGCATCAAACACTGTACAGTGTTCCCTCGCTACTTCACGGTTCGGTTAATGCAGCTTCATTCCTTTGGCAGGTTTTCATTTGTGACCATAACCTAATCTATTGTAGTTTTACCTCACTATTTTGGTTTCTTACTATTTGACTTCAAAGTCGGACCAGTCAAGGAATGTGTGCGAAATTTGCTTCACAAAAACTGACACCATGTGCATTGGGGGCATGTTCATATATTCACCCTGACGCCTGTGCACTACTCTGAGAGTGTGTGTGTGTTCGGAGATGTAGAGCGCGCACAGGTCTCCTTAATTTCTGAATGCAGCGTGTGTTTCAAACCAATCAGCGTCTCATGTTTTTACTGTTTCAAGATGGATTGCCTGACGCACTGGCGCACTGTGTCCCCAGTTGGAGCCCCGAGAGTGCATAGTCGTTTATGGTGGAGTCTGAAAAACCAAACTGCAGATTTGAACAATGGTCTGAGGTTCTGAACTGTCAGAGAGAAGCGGTGTGCACGCTCAGTGGGTATTTCTGAATGCGCCCGAGCACTTGTCACTCCTAAAATCGCCATTCCCTCATCATGGGAATTTTCATAATAACGCTCTGAGCATGCTTCTTCACGCAGACCGTTCGGAAACTCAAAACATTGTTCAAGTGTGCCGTTTGCTTATTCAGAGTGCCCCAGTGCAGCCCAGTGCAGGCAGTAAAAAAGAAAGTACAGTAAATATTCCCATCCGCGGAATTCTATGAAAAGGAATTTCCTTCACCCGGAACAAAAACCTTCGCATTAACAATTTGGCTACGATATTACATGTTACCGGAACTTACGTAAGCGGAAATTCCACTTCCCGTAACCCGGATTGAGACGTCATGCCACGGGAGCTTAAATACACGCAACGCCCACCCGATGCTACGGAAAGACATGACGCTGAGACACATTTTCACTTCGCGTTTTTCGATCATCAGATTCGAAACGACGTGTCAGTGAGTTTTTTTTTGGCGTGCGTTTTGCTGTAATTGTGAATGATTTTAACTTTATTCACTTAACGTCCTGTAGAACGCGGCACTAGCTTAAAAGCAGCACCCACTCGACACGACCGAAAAAAACGTGAGAATATTTACTGTACCATATTTTCCGCACGAAAAGACACACTGGATTATGAGGCGCACCTTCAATGAATGGCTATTTTGTAAATTTTTGTTCATATATTAGACGCCTTGCACGAAAAGGCGCAATCTACAATGCGTCCACTAGATGGTGCTACGCTCCGTCCATTCAACTCGAGAGGCATCCGTTCAACTTGAGAGGCGTTCATGACCACCTCTGAAAAATGTAATTAACTATTACTGCACTTAAATGAAACTACGAAAATTGAAAATAATGCATCAAAACAGAAAATCAAGCGAGGAAATCACAAAATAAATTCTATACCCCCCCTACAGAATTTATTTTGTGATTTCCTCGCTTGATTTTCTTCGTGGTTTCATTGAAGTAAGAATTAATTTACGTTTTTCGTAGGCGGCCTTGAACACCTCTCGAGTGGAACGGAAGAAAGCACGGAGACGGACAAAGACGTACAGTACATGAACTTGCTGAGACTGTGAAAACCATTAATAAAGTCTGCGTTTAAAAAAATAATAAAACCACAACCACAGCTCTCATTTTTTCAACAAACTCAGGTGTGGCTTTGTTCGTCTCCTTCCCTTCTTTTCTTCCGGTCAACTTGAGAGGCGTTCATGACCGCCTCCGAAAAACCCAGTGGCATTTCCTTTATCGTAGCTCCAAGAGTACAATCAGATAAGATAAAATAAGAAAACCTTTAATAGTCTCACAATGGAGAAATTCCCACTTCACAGCAGCAAAGTTATGAGCGGAAGAAGTAGAAGAACAAAATAAATACGAGCTGCTGTAAAGGCAGCCACTCTCGTGGCGCCATCTTGAAGTCAAAATAACACAACAAGATGTCAGTCGTAGTTATTTATTCCTTTGTTGTGAATTCACAAATGATGAAATCACAATATAAATTCTGTAGGGGGAGGTGGGGAAAAAATTTATTTTGTTATATCCTCGCTCGCTTTTCAGTTTTGATGTATTATTTTCAATTTTTGTAGTTTCATTGAAGTAATCGTTTGTATACGTTTTTCGGTGGCGGTCTTGAACGCCTTTCGAGTCGAACGGAAGAAAGCATGGAGATAGACAAAGACATACCTGTATTTGTTGAGACTGTTTTAAAAAATTAACACCACAGCTCTCCTTTTTTCGGAGCTGCAACACATACTTATTTAATAAAGCAGCGACACAGTTCACTGAACCAACAGCAAGTTATAACTTTGGAAGCATGTCTCCAGGAAGGAGCCATCTTGGAGTCGACGTATTACCGTAATGATCATAGAAAATACGCACCGAATTTTAAGGTGCTCGGTGGGCTTTTAAGAAAATTGAAGACTTTTTGGTGTGCCCAATAGTGCGGAAAATACGGTTAACAGCTGCTGCGTTCATAATGTGACCTGGGCACGCGCTGCAATCCAGCAGTGGACGAGGACGATAAAACGTGCGTTAAAATCTACATTAGACAAGGGAGAAGGAATTATGAAGGATTCTAAATAGCAGTCAACCCTCAGGCTTTCCAGCAAAAAGAATGTCCGGAAAAGCCTACTTGGGCATTTGGAAAGATTTAATCAGAGGAACTTTAAATGGTGACAGGTGTGATTCCCATTTGAGATGAGCTTGAATACCGTACTACATACATACAAGCACACCTGACTCATATTCCGCGATCAAATCTTTCTTAAATTATATAGTTTTGAATGAATGAATACTTTATTGTCATTGCACACTTGTTACAACGAAATTCTGTAGGAGCCTTCACCTCCAAGTGCGTCGCGAAATATAAAAATATAAAAAATATATAAATACATTGCACTCCCCTAGACCCACACATAATCACACGCATACGTTTAAAATTGATAGTCAGCGTTATGGAATGGATTTTTTTTTTTTTTTTTAATTGTGATAAGAATATGTTAGATATTCGGCACTCGTTAAAGTACAGTCCAAGTTGTCTTACAAAATGATATGAATCAGAGATTAACATGACAGTATGTGGACTATTTCGGACTAATTGAAACACAGTCAGAGATATCATGAGGTATTTAGTAAAATTGCACACCCCCCAGGCCTACACATTCACGTGCACACGATTTGAGGAATTGAGATTCAGCAGCCTGACTGCCCAGGGATAAAAAGTGTTTCTGTGTCTGTTTGTCCGGCTTCTCGTGACTCTATATTTCCTGCCCAAGGGCAGGAGGTTGAAGAGGCACCTGCCAGGGTGGGATGGATCAGTCAGGATTTTCTTTGCCCTGACTGATCCATTTTGCGCAGTATTTTCCTCTTTTCCTCACCAGGTTTACTGTCACATAATAGGCTATTATTATATGAGTAGTGCTTGATGAAAGTTTGCACTGTGTACGTCATACTCCAGTTAATCGACAGATCTCGCCTATAAGGGGGAGTTCCAGGAAGTAACTGTTAGAGTGAGCACACTGCATGTTTTACTGCTCTGCCACATTGTTATTAAAAGTCACATAAAATGTGAACCTTGCCTGCTGACCATCATTACATTTACCACTTCCACTTGCTTTCTTTGGTGCTATGATTAGGGGCTGATACACGATGCAAAAATAACAGTCCGATATGACGTAGTTCTCACCAAACACGTCTGCTTTTTAAAAAAAAAATCTTTATTGAACAATACAAACTCGGCTGCTCACAATGGACGCTACACGAGGAAGCTGTTTCTGTATGATTATTCCATAATAATGAGACACCGGACACCAGAGTGTTCATTATGTGCCGCTGTATTGAAAACTGCCGGACTTGCAACAAACGCACGCACTTCCCCCGTGCTGCTGGGGCAAACCATTCTGAAAAGAGGGGGGTTTCACTCCCCCTAACAGAAGTGTCTCACCAAAAACAGTCTGCTTTTTTCTTTTTAAATCTTTATTGAACAATCCAAACTTGTCTGCTCACAATGGACGCTACACGAGGAAGC